CTTCCGATCTGGCTAATCTACATGCCTCCGTCGAAGGAGGCATGTAGTCTAGACACACCCCCAGCCAGCCAGCTCTGTCCAGGGCTCCCTGCTCACAGCCCGTAGGGGAGCCTGGCCCTTCCTGGCATGGCACAGCCAGGGATGCAGCCCTTCTCTGGGCTGGCTCAGCACCTCCAGCAGCAAGACTCCCTTGCCCCGTGCACACAGTGACTGGCCTGGGGTACAGCGATTCCTGCCCCAGCAGTGAGTGCCTACACGTTGGCGCCGCCTTGGCTCTTGGGCTGTCAGAGGCATGTGGGGCATCTCAGCCCAGACCTTGTGGCTGGCACAGCAGAGCCGCCAAGCAGTGGCTGGGTGCTCCGGCGACAGCCTCCCTTCTATCCCCGTCCTCTAGGTGTGAGGGTGCACCCGGGCACCCCCAGCTCAGACTGTCGGGAGTGGCATGGGCAGCTGCTGTGCGGTGCAGGGGGGTGGGACGGGCAGCGCTGGGCTGAGCAGGAGGGGGAGGTGGGACGTACTGCCCTGCCCACAGGGAGCCATGCGCCTATGTGCCCTCACACTGGCACGGGGAGCACTCGGGTGCCCAGGGGTAGTGGGACGCGCTGTACGGCCCAGAGGTGTCCCTGCACCAGCGCACCCAGGGGCTGGCACGGTGCCGGGTGGGCGCTGGCTCAGCAGGGCCTGGTGAGCAGGCAGATCCTGCTGTCTAGGCCTTGACTCTCCTGCTCTGGCCCAGCAGGTCCCTTTTCCGACTGAATGATGCAGTTTAGTCCAAAGTCTTCGATGCCATCGAAATCAGCACCATCGCAGGAGGAGCCGCCCCGGCCGGAGGGCGCGGGAACAACCATTGCCGAGATAGAATTCTTAAATGTCACCTGAGAGCCGAGGGAAACCCAGATGTCACCAAGCACATGACCTGAGCCCATCCACGTCCTCCCTCGCCACCCCCCAGAGCCCTGCAAAGGCCAGGCCCGCCCTGCCAAGCCAGGCACAACAGCCCCTGTTCCCCCTGCCTTCCAGCCCTGCCCCTCCCGTGGGGGCCAGCGGTGGCATCTCACTGCCCGGCCAGTAAACGCCCAGAGCTGCTGAGCCAGGGCCTTGCCCACCTCTTTGTATAGGACTTGCTCTGTGCCATCCCGAGGTGTCAGATGCCCAGGGGTGAGTGAGGAGAGGCAGCTTCAAGGGGTTGAAGCTGGGCTGGGGAAGGGGTTCCCAAAGATGGAATTTGGGTGGAGGGGGTTCCATGTATGTTCCAACAGCTCCTGTGCCAGGGCCTGAGCCCGCATTGTCAGAACAGCTTTTGGGCTCCTACTAAGCGCCTAGAGGTGGGATCTGGGTCTAGCTGGCACGGGCTGGCAAAGTGGGCCCCACGGCATGACACTTCCTGTGCGCTAAACCCCTCCCCCTGGCGCCCTTCCAGTCTGATTGGGTCAGGGCCCAGCCACTGCCCTTCCCGCGAGGAGCCCGGGGCTCCGGCTGATGTCATGGGGCTGGAGTGGGCGGGTAGCTGCAGGGCCGTGCTCTTTTGCACGCCAAGGAGCTGTCGTGTGGAATCTGGTCCTGCCAGGCCCCGTGTGACACGGGTGCTTGGTGTCACCTTGCACATGGGGCTGTGCACTGTGGCAGGGCAGCCGTGAGGAGGGGCGGAGGCAGGGTGTTCACTCCTACCCCATCACAGAGCAGTGTCATCCTGGGCCGTTCCCATGACTGGAGCGAGGGTTCCCAACCAGGCCCTGGCTCCTCACCGGACTCGGCAACCTCCACAGCCTCCCTCTGGCCCCGCAGCACTGGCATGTTTTGAACCCTGCACTCTGCTCACACACGCACTGACTCTGGCAGCCTCAGCTCACACGTTACCCCCGCCAAGCTGCCGTGCCATGTGCTGCAGCAGGGGTCAGCAAGGTCCCTGGGTGCCAGCAGGCTCCGGGGCGTTGGCACAGCTGGGGGGAGGGGCAGGGCTGGGGGCTGAGGGGGCTGCAGACGGGAGGGAGGGGCTCTGGTAGGTCGGGGGGATCCCAGGGCTCAGCTGGGGGGGGCTGCAGACGGGAGGGAGGGGCTCTGGTAGGTCGGGGGGATCCCAGGGCTCAGCTTGAGGGGGCTGCAGGCGGGAGGGAGGGGCTCTGGTAGGTCGGGGGGATCCCAGGGCTCAGCTTGAGGGGGCTGCAGGCGGGAGGGAGGGGCTCTGGTAGGTCGGGGGGATCCCAGGGCTCAGCTTGAGGGGGCTGCAGGCGGGAGGGAGGGGCTCTGGTAGGTCGGGGGGATCCCAGGGCTCAGCTTGAGGGGGCTGCAGGCGGGAGGGAGGGGCTCTGGTAGGTCGGGGGGATCCCAGGGCTCAGCTTGAGGGGGCTGCAGGCGGGAGGGAGGGGCTCTGGTAGGTCGGGGGGATCCCAGGGCTCAGCTTGAGGGGGCTGCAGGCGGGAGGGAGGGGCTCTGGTAGGTCGGGGGGATCCCAGGGCTCAGCTTGAGGGGGCTGCAGGCGGGAGGGAGGGGCTCTGGTAGGTCGGGGGGATCCCAGGGCTCAGCTTGAGGGGGCTGCAGGCGGGAGGGAGGGGCTCTGGTAGGTCGGGGGGATCCCAGGGCTCAGCTTGAGGGGGCTGCAGGCGGGAGGGAGGGGCTCTGGTAGGTCGGGGGGATCCCAGGGCTCAGCTTGAGGGGGCTGCAGGCGGGAGGGAGGGGCTCTGGTAGGTCGGGGGGATCCCAGGGCTCAGCTTGAGGGGGCTGCAGGCGGGAGGGAGGGGCTCTGGTAGGTCGGGGGGATCCCAGGGCTCAGCTTGAGGGGGCTGCAGGCGGGAGGGAGGGGCTCTGGTAGGTCGGGGGGATCCCAGGGCTCAGCTTGAGGGGGCTGCAGGCGGGAGGGAGGGGCTCTGGTAGGTCGGGGGGATCCCAGGGCTCAGCTTGAGGGGGCTGCAGGCGGGAGGGAGGGGCTCTGGGAGGGGGGGGGATCCCAGGGCTCAGCTAGCGGGGGCTGCAGGTCAGAGCTGAGGAGTGGCAATGGCCCATGTCTCGCTCCAGCCCTCTCCACAGCTAACAGTAAATCCCCCTGGACTCTGCCGGCCGGCTCTGCAGTGGGGTGTCTGGGAGCTGCCCAATGCTGACCTTCCCGGGGCCGGGGCCTGGGCCTTGTCTAGATGAGGGATCCGGGGGAGCCCCCCCCAGCCAGTGTGACATCGGACGACCCTCTCAGAGCCCTGCTGGCCCAGAGCTAGGGCGCCTCACTGGCTGCTGACCCAGTGGCTGTGGGCTAGGACCTGGGTTCTTTGCCCGGCTCCAGGAGCAGCTGGGGAAAGGGGGAGAAATCTGTATTTTAAAGAGCGTATGTGTAGTAGTGCAGGCCGGGCGCTGGGCGTCCGCACTCCTGGGCCCTCTCTGCAGCGCTGGGCGTGGGGAGGGTCTCGTGGATGGGGAAAGTCCTGTGAGTCCTTTGCTACTGGGAAGGTGCTTGTGACCAAGGTACCTCCTGCCTCAGTTTCCTCTGGTTCGTGGCACTGCCCCAGGGGTTGCCAAGCTAATGTCCGTGCTGGTTGACAAGTGTTTTGAGATGGGGGCAGGGGGAGGGGAATGGGTGTGTGAGTGAGGCGCTGGGCTCCACCCTGGTGCTGCCTGAGCTTCAGATCCAGGGAACCCTGCTGGGTTTGTTCTGCAGCGCATGCTGGGGGCGCCATGCTCAGTGGGCTGACAGGGCACTCACCAGAGGGGCTCACTGCCCAGGGCTGGGGGCTGGAAGCTGCATGCATAGGGGCCAGAGTGTGGGGCCTGGGGCTGTATCACGACAGGCTGGGAGCCAAGGAGGTGGGGGGTGAGGCTGGGAGGTCACTTGCTATGAGGACCAGGAGCCTGAGGGGATAGCTGGGAGGTACACTTGCTATAGGGCCCAGAAGCCTGGGAGGTAACATTTGCTATAAGGGCCAGGAGCCCGGGAGATGGCTGGAAGGTACATTTGCTATAAGGGCTAAGAGCCCAGGGAGTGGCTGGGAGGTACATTTGCTATAGGGCCAGGAGCCTGGGGTGGGTGGGAGGTACACGTGCTAGAAGGGCCAGGAGGTGTGCTCCCATGGAGGGAGTGAGAGCCATGTGCACTGCATTGTACTTGCTATAGGATATGGGCATGTGGGAAGGAGGGGGAGGTGCATGCTTTGAGGAGTACACTGGAACTAAGTGCTGGGTATTCGGAGGGTTTGAGGCAGGTATACCAGCTGTAAGGGCTGGGTGCTTGGGGGAGGGGATGGGGGCAGGTATACCAGCTGTAAGGGCTGGGTGCTTGGGGGAGGGGATGGGGGCAGGTATACCAGCTGTAAGGGCTGGGTGCTTGGGGGAGGGGATGGGGGCAGGTATACCAGCTGTAAGGGCTGGGTGCTTGGGGGAGGGGATGGGGGCAGGTATACCAGCTGTAAGGGCTGGGTGCTTGGGGGAGGGGATTGAGGCAGGTATACCAGCTGTAAGGGCTGGGTGCTTGTGGGGAGGGAATAGAGGCAGGTATACCAGCTGTAAGGGCTGGGTGCTTGGGGGAGGGGATGGGGGCAGGTATACCAGCTGTAAGGGCTGGGTGCTGGCGGGGAGGGGAGGGGAGGGGTCATACCTCTTATAAGGGTACCTCCCAACTATCCCCCAGGGCACCTGACCCCTATAGAGCTGGGCTCCCGGAGCAGATTTGTCTTTGGCTCAGCCGAGGAGAAGCTCTGATGCCCCCTGGATGACTTGCCTGTCAGACTAGGGGCCCTGGATGCTGGGTCTTCAAGTGCTGCCCCCCCCCCTTCCCAGGATGCTCAGCTGTCTAGGAGCCTGCCCTCTCCCCCGGGCCGGCCCGGCTGGCCTTTGCACTGGGCTGGCTGGAGACACTGATGTCACTGGGCTCTGCAGGGAGCAGTGCTGTGCCCTGACCACAGACATGCATGTATTCAGGAGGGCAGTTCCTGGCTTCTCTCTGAGAGCTGGGGATGGGGCGCTCCCACGCCCAGTCCCTGCGCCATTCAGTGGCACCTGTAGAATCCCTCTTCCCCTTAGGAAGGACGCTGTGGCTGATGGACCACATTTGCTCCTGGTGCATGGGGAAGGAAGTGGGGCCGGGCGTCAGGACCCCTGGGTACTACCTCCAGCTCTGGGAGAGGAGTGATGTCTAGTGGGTGGAACAGTAGAGTGGGACTCGAGACACAGGTTCTAGTCCAGGCTTTGGGAGCGAACGGGGGAGGGGGAGGATTTGCTGTGTGGCTTTGGGAGAGTCACCCCATGGCCAGCATTGAGTCACCCCCACCCCAGTAACACAGGGCGAGTGATGCTGCAGAGTGCGGGCTGGTTTGGAACTGAGGCTGCTCTGCAGGAGGTGGGCGGGCAAAGGCGCCAGGGAGGAAGAGCAAAAGAGGGACAAAGCCCCCAGCCCAGGCAGAGCCATTTGCCTGTTCTCAGAGCACCCGTGTATCAACTCCAGGCCACACCCTGCTCTTGCCCACACCATGGAAAACCCACACGAGGCCTGGCCAGAGAGCACTGGGAGCCAGCAGAGCTCAGCGCCTCGCAGGGCCAGGCATGAGGTGAGACAGAATCAGGCTCAGAATCAGCAGCTCCCTATCAGGAGCGTCCCCAGGACTGACCTCCTCAAACCGGCTTCCTTGGGGCTCTTTCAGCTGTGAGGACCTTTAATCTGGTCACCGCTTAGTGGCCATGCCCCAGTGGCCCTGAGCTGCTAACCTCTCCCGCCTGCACTGTAAATACACCCGAGCTCACCTCCGCCATGGGTATTCTCTGTACGTGTTTGTACTTCGGGCGTAATTTTCTACCATGCAGTTACTCTTCGTTTCTCGAAACCGGTTATTATTCGAACAGCTCCACATTCCAACGCTGAACCCAAACTCTGCGCATGTGAAAATGAAACCAAGGAACTAAGCAAAAGAACTACGTGAAGGACAAATAAAAAACAAAAGTGAATTAAAACTGGTTCCTGTTGTTTTTCCCCTGCCGATGGGAATAATTTTAAAGTCCTCAGACCAATTGAGAGAAAGAAAAAATCTTCACAGGGGAGAAAAAAGTGATTTATTGATTGATTTTGTTTTTTTAGAAAAAAACAACCCCTGTCTAGTTCATACCCTGGCTCGGGAAACAGAGTGGGATCTAGTTAGAAGGGCAGGATTTTTCTAACAGTTTCTGTAAGTATATCAGAATCAGCAAGTCTGCCACAAAAAACAAAAATCAGTGAAGCCATTGGCTGTTCCAAGGTGCACTCAAGGTAAACATGGCAGCTGCAGTGACGTTAAATGAATTCTTTGCATCAATCATCTCTGCAGTTATGAGGGAGATTCCCACACCTGAGCCATTCCTTGTCAAGGAACAGTTCTGAGGAACAGTCCCAGACTGAGGTGTCAATAGAGAAGGTTTTGGAACAAACTGATAAACAGTAATAAGTCCCAAGGACCAGCTGGTATTTGCCCAAGAGTTCCAAAGGAACTCAAACCAGAAATTACAGCCCTGCTACCCAAGGTATGTACATCAGCCTCTGCCCCAGCTGACTGGAAAGGAGCGACTGTTGTGCTGATCTTTAAAAAAGATGCCAGAGTAATCCAGACAATTACAGGCCAATAAGCCAAACTTCAGTACCAGGCAGATGCGTTGAAGTTAAAGAACAAGATTATCAGACACACAGATGAACACAATATGTTGGGGAAAAGTCAACATGGCTTTTGTAAAGGGAAATCCTGCCTCAAAACATTAGAATTTTTGGAGGGTGTCAACAAGCATGTGGACAAAGGTGATCACCGTGTGCTTAAACGCCTTTGCCAAGGTCTCACATCAAAGGCACTTGAACAAAGTGAGCCATTGGGGCAAACAAGGCAACGTACCCACATGGCTCAGTACCTGGTTAAAAGGCAGGAAACAAAGGGCAAAGTGAAACACTATCCCAATGAACAGTGAGAAATAACAGGTCCCCAAGCAACTGTACTGGGGCTCGTGTAGGTCACAGGTCCATAAATGACCTGGGAAGTAGGGGTGGAGAGGGAAGGTGCAAACCTCCCTGACAACACAACGTTACCCACCAGATGAGCAACTGTGAAGAGTTACAAGGAGCTCACAGAACTGGGTGACTGGGCAACAAAAGAGCAGAAGCCGGTCAGTATGGTCAGTGCAAAGTAACGCCCATTGGAAACCAGCATCCCAACTCCACCGAAGGTGATGGGGGAGGGTCTAAATGCCCTGTTACTAATGGAAGAGTCACGAGTCATTGTGGGGAGTCCTCTGAAAACAGCCACTCAATGGGCAGCAGGGGCCAGAAAAGAAACACCATGTTGGGCATCATTAGGCAAGAGAGAGACTAAACCAGCAAACAGTATATTGCCACCCTGTTAATCCATGGCATGTGGATATTCACACGCTGAGTGCAACTGGGGTTGCCCCAGCTGAAAAAGTGATGTTAGACCTGGGACAAGTACAACAAGGCGCAAAAAAAGGGATTAAGGGTATGGAACCATGTCTGTATGAGAAGGGCTTAAACAGACTGGGCCTGTTCAGCTTGAGGAAGAGGTGACGAAGGGGGGTCTATAAGACCATGCCTGGAGCGGAGACAGTGAACAGGAAAGTGACATTTACCCTCTCACAGAACACGAGACCCAAGGGTCCACCAATGGAATTGACAAGCAGCAGGTATAAAACGAACCCAAGGAGCCTGGAATTCGTTGCCAGGGGAAGGTTGTGAAGGTCACATGAATAACTGGGTTCAAAGAATACTTAAATTCATGGTGGGTAGGTGCATCAGGGGCTATTAGGCCAGGTTGTCAGGGTGTGCTGGGTGTCCCCGAAGCACTGCCTGCCAGCAGGTGGGACTGGACAATGGGATGGGTCACTCGAAACTGCCCTGCTCTGTTCGTTGACTCTGAAGCATCTGGCACCTGGCACGAGTCACTGCTGGCGCCAGGATACTGAGCTGGCTGGGTCATTGGTCCGGCCTAGTGCAGCTCTTCAGGACTCCTTGGCTCTATTTGCCAGCCTGGGAGGGGAGTGGTGCCTAGTGGATAGGGCAGGGGCTGCTGTGGGGTCAGTCAGACATCTCTTTTACGGATCACACAGGGCGTTAACCATAGGACTTTGCCTCTGATCCCCTGGCCATTTCTGAGTGCCATTGTGGTCTAGGCCAGGCCTCTCCTCTCCAGCCAGCTGAGGCCCCTGTTCCCTTGGCAGCTGCTCTGGCTGGGCCTGGGACCAAGCTCAGAGCTGGCTGCACTGAAAGCCTCCTGGCTGCCATGGAGTCACAGCTGGGACAGGGCCTCCCCTCCATGGGATACTAGTGCCCTGGAGCTGCGAGGGGCAGGCCGAGAGCAGGGCCCTGGGAGCCGGGGGCATGTCTGTGCCTGGTGGTCAGTGCTGAGGAGGGGGCTGCCGGAGAGCCCAGAACAGCAGAGACAATGCTCCCTTGCCTCGGCACCACGGGATGGAGGACCCCTCCCAGTGAGACCAATGGAGGCTCCTCCCCCAGGACAAGGGGGCCTTGCCTTCCTGTTATTCTCAGTGCAGGCTGCTGGGGGCTGGGCACATCCTCAGCCAGGCCTTCCTCCCGCCAGCCCCCCGCCCCTGCAGCCAGGGGGGGGGACCTGACTGGCCTTTAGAGGGAAACGACAAGCACTTTGAGACACGGCACAGGCCTCAGCCAGTGGCTCCCTGCATGTCCCCCCAGCCAGCGCACTATGCAGGTGGCTCTGCACTGCTCTGTGCCTCATGGCCCGGGGGCCTGCTGGAAGGTGGGCGGGGGGCTAGGGAGCAGGCATGACAGGTTCCCCAGGGGCCTCCAGCCTTCCCCCCCCAGCCGCTGTCCCCGCTCCCGTCAGCTGCTCGGCACCGCCCCTCACATAGCCATCTATCTGGGAAGGAGCTGGAGAGCCACTAAGGCTGAGCCCCCCTGCAGACTGGCCAGGCGAGCAGAATGACCAGGAACACAGCGGCCCCTGCAGCCCTGAGCCTCACTTTGCTTCTCCGGCTTTTATTTTTAACACGCTCCTTCTCAGGAATGAACGGCGGGAATTTCAAAACTAACCAAACCCTTTACTGCCCAGCATGTGCTTGGCCTGTGCAGCTCCCTGCACCTGAGGATGTTAAGAGGGGCTAATCCACTAATCGTGTAGTCGATAAAAGTGTTCTCAACTACACGATTAGTCGATAAGAGAAGGCTGCTGCGGCTCGGCTGTTTAAATGTAGCAAGAGCCGGGCCTGCAGGCAGCGCAGCTCCTACTACATTTAAACTGCAGAGGCACAGTGGGGGTAGCTCCTGGACCCGGCTCATGCCAGGTCCAGCAGCCTCCCCTGTCCTCCCAATAGAGGCAGCAACACAGGGTTGTGGGAGCAGGCAGCACTGCGGAGACAGTGCTGGGGGAACCAGCTTTTAATTTGGCTCCCCCCAGTACCAGTTCCTGCTTCCTCCCCCCACTTGCTGCCTCTGTATCAGCAAGGGGAGGTCGACGCGACAACTTGCTTCCACCTCTCCCTGCAACACAGGCACCTGCTGTCCTTGGACTGTGCGACTCCAGAGGGACCGGACACTCCTGCGGCTCACAAGAACAGCCAGGCTTTGGGAAGGGTTAACCCTCCTGCTTCACTGGCCACTCAAGAGCAGGATGAGACCTGCACAGATTATCCTCTGCCTGCTGCAGCGGGCTTCTTCCCCCTTCCTTTGCAGCCTCTGGCACCGGAGAGCTGGGAGACCGGGCAGGATGGGCCCAGTGTCCCCCCCGCACTGCACCCCAGCGCAGGGTGCAATGAGCAGCAGGCACCAACAGGAGAAGATCAGTTTATTGATTGACATGACAGGCTCGGTGCTCTGGACGGACAAAGCGGCAGTGATTTGCAGAGGGCTGAGTGCAGGTGACGACAGACACGCCGGGCAGGGCTCAGCCTCCTGCACCGCCGCACAGGGGCAATGTATGCTCACCTCCCAGGCTTGCCCTGGGGTCAGCCGAGCCCGGCCCAGCTTGGCCCCACCGGTCCTGAGACCTGGCTGAGGGCGGCAGGAGCCCGGTAGGGCGAAAGGCCCTGTGCGCACCCAGGGAGAGGAGGAAGTGCGGAGGTTTTGCTGCAGGGGGTTCCTGTGTGGCTGGGGAGAAAGGGGTGTCCCTGGGCTCCTCAGGGCTCGTCCACACCAGCACAAAGGTGTCTTTATCCCAGGACTGGGACATGCTTGACAGGGTGTGTCAGGTTGGGGAGGGAGGCCGGGGGCAGCCTGACAGAAGGCTCAGCCATTGCCTCATTCCCCCTGTGGCCTCATGCAGAGTGTGAGGCTCTGTGCTGTGCTGTGCTGTGCTGTGCTGGGCAGTGCAAGGAGGAGCTCTCTGGACACTGCATGGAACTACAAATCCGTGCCCGGCCCTGCCAATCCTGCCCAGGATCATTGTGCTTGCTGTGAAAGGCCCCATGTGTGCCAGGCTGCTCCATCTGCCATGAGCCAGGAAGGGCTGGTGGGGCCCTGGGGCCAGATTGCAGCCTCTCCTTCCCACCCCAGGGCACCTGCTCTACATCAATAAAAAAACCCAAAATCACAAACACCCAAACAGCCATTGAAATCTTAGAAAACAATCATCAAGTGCCCCCTCCAAACTCAGTGATCTTCCTTCTTCCTTCCTCCCTGCTGCGTCGCCCTGCCTCTGTCCTCGAAACACCACTCACACCTGGATGGCACGCCACCTACAGGAGGGTCAATACACAACAGATGTTGGGGTTGGGAATGGGACCCACTCTATGAACTCACAAAAGCAAGGGAACGAAAAGCCATGTTGCTTCCCAATTCATCCTGCTGCTCCTTCACCTGCAGGCACATGCCCTCCCATTGCCATGGCTCCTGTAACCTTAACTCTGCCCATTTTTGCACTGTGTGCACAACTGTTCCCTGGACAATGCTTCTCCAGCACATAGTATGGGGAGGGTTGGGACATGCACTGGCTGTGCTGATAGGGTGATTCAGTGCATACTTCAGAGCAGAAGGGATGAAGGGAGGATGGCATCACTAGGGGCAGAGTTAAGGCTGTCATGGGTGATAGGGAGATATCCAGCCTGAGTCAGATAATGCCTCCCCTTACTGCCCAGAGGATGAGCCCCAAGACCCAGACTGAGTTAAGATTTTGACTTCAGGGCTGTTGGGACTGTCCGGGGGGTGGGGGGCGGCATATGAGCCGTGGGACCTGTCCCCTTTCTCCCTCATAGGCACCACATGGAGCTGAGAGGAACCAAACAACCTTGTTGATTTAAAAGTGGCTTCTTGGGGCAGCAGCACTCCCAGTGACCACATGCATTATGAACGGGACCCTGGGGCGCTCACTCTCACTCCTGCTTCCAAATGGCCAGTCCAAAGTTCCTGTGTCCAGGGAGCAACATCAGCTGCAGCCAGGTGGGAAGCTGTGAGCCCAAGCCCAGGGCAGTCAGTCCAGCCCAGCCCTGCCACGTTACCATGTCCTGGGCTCACATGGCCCATGGGATTCCCAAGATCATTCCCTTTCCTCCTCTCTATCCACTGTGCTCCGCCCTGAGCCACACCGCTCCAAGTGCCTGTCTGTTCACAGCCTGAAGATCCTGGTGCATCGCCTGTCCCCCCACACCAACGCTCCCTCTAATCATTTCCATCCATGTGCAGAATAATTTGATGTGCATGGGCACGTGTGAATGTGCACCAGCAGTAGAAAGAAGAAACCCAGCTGTAGGCACTTGCTAATCAGCTGGGCAGGATTGGAATCTCTGCTGAGTGGCCACACAAGCACCCAGCTTACAGGGAACACCGCTGCACCATCAAGTCAGCATCTTTCTGCTCTGCCTGTGCTGCCAGCATCTGTGTCCTTTCTCGGAATTCTTATCAGCATGTTGGTACTTAAGGGTCAGATGGATCGACTAGTCTGTCTAAACCATCCCCTCTCTGCACATGGAAGCAGCACGCCCTGTTGTAGCTTGTGTCTGCTCAGGTCACCTTAATATATGGAGATATACCTAGCTCATAGAGCTGGAAGGGACCTTGAAAGGTCATTGAGTCAAGTCCAGTCCAGTCCCCTGCTTTCGTAGGAGGAGCAGGTTCCATCCCTGACAGATTTGCCCCAGATCCCTAAATGCCCCCTCCCCCAAGGATTGAACGCACACCCATGGATGTCACAGGCCAATGCTCAAACCACAGAGCTATCCCTGCCCCCCACCTGCTCCCGCCTCCCAGGGATTCCTACCTAGTCACTGGCAGGAGCCGGCTTGCCTGAGGAATCCGTTGGCCGTCTGTGTACGTGCTGCTGCTCCGAGCACCGTCCTGGCCTTCCATCGCCTTCGCTTCTTGCACAAGCCCCTGTCGATTCGTCCTCTGCACAAAACAGGCCCAAGGAGCCCTATGTGAGGGTCTTCCCCTTGCAGGGTGTTCCCAACATGGGCTTGCACCTTGGGACAGGCCGTCCCCCGATGCAGCCTGCTCCAGGGACCTTCGCCCTGCAGGACATGTGGCAGCCTGCCCTAGGGCCACCTTCTTCCCGAGCAGAGAGAGGCTGCCACGGAGACTGACTGAGTGGAGCTTGTGGTGACTTTTGGTGGGGCGAGCGCTGCTCTCACGAGTGCCAAGGGATTCTGGGTGCCCCGCACAAGCACCCTGAGCCAGCTCTCCCCCAGCTGGGCACTGGTGCCAAGACAGAGGACGGGGGACTTGCACCTCCCCTATCCAGCATGTCCCCGTACACAGGCTAGGGGGCATTTCAGTGCTGCCCATGACCTCATGGGGCATTGCAGATTGGAAGGGAAAATGCAGGCACCCAGCCAGAACCACTGCGGGGCCCCCAACCAGTGTTCTGAGCCCCCCTCGGTCATTCAAGAAGGGAAAAACCCACAGCCACTTCCAGCCACAGCCCTTTAGCTCAAGTGAGGGCCAGGCCTTTAATGCTAGAAATCCCAGGCGAGCGGCGGAGGAGCAGAGTGCAGGGACACATTCCTGTGGGCTGCTTTAGGGAAGCCGTGTGTAGCTGATGCAGTGTTGTTCCCAGCACGAGAGTCGGGGGAGGAGAGGGACCTCATTGATTGTCCCAGCTTTGCTGGGGAAAGAGACAAGCTTTGGAGCCACACCGAGATTTTTGTCATTGAATCCTAGAACTGGAAGGGACCTCGAGAGACCATCGAGTCCAGTCCCCTGCCCTCATGGCAGGACCAAGCATCGTCTAGATCATCCCCGACAGGTGTCTGTCCAACCTGCTCTTAACTATCTCCAGTGATGGAGATTCCACAATCTCCCTAGGCAATTTATTCCAGTGTTTAACCACCCTGACAGGAAGTTTTTCCTGATGTTCAACTTAAACCTCCCTTGCCACAGTTTACGCTCATTGCTTCTTGTCCTATCCTCCGAGGCCAAGGAGAACAATATTTCTCCTTCCTTGTAACACCCTTTTAGAGACTAGAAAACTGCTCTCATGTCCCCTCTCAGTCTTCTCTTTTCTAAACAGGCCCAGTTCTTTCAGTCTTCCCTCATAGATCATGTTCTCTAGGCCTCTTCATGCAAAACCTACAGCCTTGTCTTCCCCACTGTGATGATCAACAACCCCACAACACACCTTTCAAGATCCATGGGTCCTCGCACGTGCCTGTTACAACATGTGGGGCACCCCATCCACTCTGCTAAATGCCCCATAACAGTGATACGGATAACCAGACATTCACCTTGAACTCACCCAGGAAAATGATGAGACAAAACCACCACAGCGCCTGAGAGTGAGCCCGCCACACCTGACCTCTCAGTCCCCATCCTCAAAGGAAACCTGCCCAACTCCTTCAAAGGACGACCCTGGGAGCTCACATTCACATTCACAACTAACTCACATAAGAACATAAGACCGGCCGTACTGGGTCAGACCAAAGGTCCATCTAGCCCAGTATCCTGTCTGCCGAGTGGCCAGCACCAGGTGCCCTAGAGGGAGTGGACCGAAGACAATGATCAAGCAATTTGTCTCCTGTCATCCTTCCCCAGTGTCTGACAGACAGAGGCCAGGGACACCATTTCTATCCCCTGGCTAATAGCCTTTTATGGACCTAACCTCCATGAAACTATCTAGCTTCTCTTTACACAATTACAGTTATCAGTAGGGCCTCTTTTTTGGCGCCTGTGTTACTGAATCAAAGTCTTGCTCATTAGATTGCAGGCCTGTTGCTGTTTTCATGTTACAGGCCTCTATTTAGGCCTGCTGACTCCATGTTATTGACCCTCAACTTACTACATTGGACACTAAATACCATGGACTGAATGAGACACTGGATTCATGGCTCACTGCAACAATCTCTAACCCACAGACAACTCTCTCATCGAAGCTGCTTTTCCCCTTCCTCCTGCCTGCCCCACCATGGCACTTCATCTTGAATGGTCCCTTGAAATCTGTCTTCACTGTCACTAAACAATCAGCTCCACCTTGTATCTAGCTGGGACACTGAGTACTTTCCCCAGGCCTGAAAGACAGCACTGTGCTTCTCTCTGTCCGTAACCCCGAGCGGTCCCACCTTGTCTCCCTGTGCACAGCTTGTGAGTTCTGTTTGACTTCGGAAACTCCCTGGGAATCCGGCTGCGAGGCTGCAGCCTCACTGTGAAAGGTGGGGGGTGTTTGCCCTCTGTGGTGCCACTTGTCTCCACACGCAGCTGACCAGCGGCACCACGCCAATGAAGGGGGGTTGTTAAACGTGGATAATTTCCCCTTCGGATGGACGGCCTGTGTTGCTCAAGGCGCAGCCGGTGAGGCCGACGGGGAGGTCATCTGGCAAAGGGGGTTTGGGAGAAGAAGTTTCTCACCAGTCAGGGAGAGAGAGATCAGAAGCAGAAGCAGACGTCATGATCTGGGGAAGCCAGAATGCGCCACAGTGGAACGGATGCGAGCAAATGCCTCCTGGTGTGTTGTTAATTTGTCTCGCTCTAGGTAATCCTTGTGCTATCTGCAGTACAGAAAAACTGGGTTTGGACTCCTTTGCAAAGCCCGTGCGCCTGTGTGCATCCCCATCACGCCCCCTGGAAGGACAGGGGAAGCTGAGGACACTGAAATGACTAACAGACATGCCGTCATTCATCAATGATGCTACCGACAGAATTGCCAGGCCCCTGGGCAAGGTGTGTGGGGGGGTGGGTCTGTGCCCCCACAAGGGGCAGAGCCTCAGGCAGAAGGGGTAGGATTGGGGCAAGCTTCCCCCAGCCAGCCCTTCAGCCCTGCCTGGAGGGCACCTCCCAGAGCTCCGGGGGCAATTTAAAGGGCCTAGCACTCCATCTGCTGCCACTATTGCAGTAGCAGCAGTGGTGGCCAGGACCCCCAGGCCCTTTTAAATTGCCAGACCCTGGGGCAGCTGTCTCCACCCCTCCTTGACAGCCCGAGCCAGGCTGTTGATGGAAGAATAGCTAGATAAGGAAAGCACAGACAGAGAAAAAGAGCCCCGCAGCGCACAGATCTCAAAGTCCTTTGCAGACATTAGCTGTCAGTTCCATGGCAAGTAGGGTATGAGCATCTCCCTGGCATACAGAAGGGGAAACTGAGGCATAGAGAGGGGCTGAAATCTGCTCAAAGTCACACAGAGCCAGGGAGAGAATCCAGGTTTTCTGTCTCCCACTCCTGCAGCAGGAGAGCCTGTGGTGTTCCATGCAGCTGTTTTGCACTTTTAGATGAGTGAGCGAGTGAGCGAGCGAGAAGCTGGGAAGCTGGTTCTCATCTGGCTGCGTCAGTTGCGCTGGAGTCAGCGATGTGCGTGTCCCACTTTGCAGGCTGCCAGCAGGAGGACTTGGTACATATTTGATGAGGGGGTTTGGAGGTATTTTTAAAAGGCTGCTCCAGTGAGTGATTCATCAGGGAGGGAAGGGATCGCACCTTTTCCCCAACTGCATCACGGCACCGATTCCCAGCTGCTCTACCATGCGCTTGCCCAAATCACCAAATGGGCAAGCCATTCCTGAGCCTGGTGGCCAGGGTCCATCACTCCATTGATCAGCTGCGTTGGCATCTTCCCCCTGTGGCTGCATCTTCCCCCTGTGTCCACTAGAGGCCAGTGTTCTCACAGTTGCTGCAGATCCTTTCTTATCTCCATCAGACCCAAGCCCTACACCCTCCACCTCGTTCCCACAGCCTCTCCAAGACACGGCTTCACTTAGCCCACCGGGGCAAGGAAGCGGGGCACCATGGGTGAGGCCAGCATGGGGTATGGGGCAGAAGAAAGGGGGTTTGCTCCACACAGCGGTTAGGGCTTGTGGGTCAGAACTAAGGTTATTGTGTGATGTGCGCAGGTGACTTTCCACACTGAAAGCTCTGCTGCTAAGCGAAAGCTGTTGTCAGAGCAATGGGCACTGTGGTTACTCCCTCCGCTGTTCCTTCCCAAGGCTCTGAGGGCTCAGCCGGGCTGAGAACTGTGTGCTTTGTAGGAGAGCTTTGCGGGAGTATTTACAGTAGCTGCCTTCTTGCTGCACAGGGTGGGGAAACGAGGGGAGGGGACAGTCCCAGATGAGCTGACCTCATGGCTAAAGGGAGTCGCACCCTTTTGTGCATCAGTTCCCCTCCTGTAGCGTGGGGTGGAGAGCCCCGCCCATCTCTCCATGGGGCTGGGAGGGTAATTGCCTTAAAGCAAGTGAGGTATCTAGGTACCACAGTGATGGCACCTGAGACAGGAACTTGCAAGCTCAGGGGCACAAGCAAAGTTCAATGCCACATTTAAGCAGTCACAGGCCTGATCTTCCTGGGAGCAGACATTGGCCAGAGCAGGCGGGGCTCTACCCCGAATGCCCCACAGCCAGAGGCTGCTGCCTGTCCCAGGATCTGGGGCCCAAGGTTGGGGTTGGAGGCCGGATGAGCTGCAGGTTCTGCCTTGGGACCCAGCTCCCCTGGTCTGCTTGTGGCAGCGGCATTGACACCAGCGTGTGCACAGTGGGCTGCACGTTACCCCTGCCTCGCACTGGTGTGAGTGAGGCACAAGGTGTCAGTGGAGAAAGGTGGAACCAGGCCTGGCACAGAGCAGGGCAGATAGAGGGGCCGGAGCCGACCCACCCTGCAGGGGAAGGACTCTGTCCAGTGAGGGCGTGTCTATGTTATACTCACGCCCGTCTGGCTCAGCGTGGTTGCCCTCCGGAGACTCCAGCCTGGTCTTGGCCCGGACATGGGGGCAGGTCCCCCCAGGGCTGTGACTGGGGTCTGTGTTGCAGTGGTGGCAGCACCCGGGGCTGTGTGGGTCCTGGCTCCCCACGCTGGCATCCTCCTCCTCCCGCTCCTGCTTGCACAGGTGGTGCTCCACCATCATCTGCAGTTCTGCGGGAGAGAGAAATGCCAGGTGAGCCCTTGGGGCCAAAGGGGGAGCTCCTGGCCGCTGGGGGTCATCAGACCCCTGGACTCCTGCACTGTGTCTCTCCAATGGGGCACAGTACGGGCAGCGCTGGTTCACCATGGCTCAGAGCTTATCCTGATAGCTCCCAGGCCTGACGCCAGGGCTGAGCCACCCCGGGCAGATCCCCCCAAACCTGGGGCCCGTTCCCAGCAATGCCACCCACGCCCATTCCTAGCATGTCTGTCCAGCGCCGATCCTCTCCGCTCAGAGGAGAAAGGATGCGACTGGAGGGAATGTGAGAACAGACCGAGACAGTGGGCGGACGGGCGGGCGAAGGAAGCAGGAGAGGACAGAAGCATTTCCTGGAGACAACCAGCTGCATGTCCTCGTGCTCCCCAGACCAGCATGAAGTGGAGGACGTGCCACGGTACCTTTCATGGTGGGCGTCGTGCGGGGGACCTTCTTCCGCTGCCTGGGGGACATGGACAGCCCCGACTGCAAAGGGAGGAAAGGCCAGGTCACCGCAGGACACTGCACGGCACAAGAACCCTACAGCCACCCGAGCCGGAGGCACTGGGGCTGCTTGGGTTGTTTGCAGGGGCTGGCATCCAACAGGCACAAAACAGGGCACATTGCCCCCCACCCCACTCCGGTCCCCCCACTGAACAGGTCCCCATCTACAGAGCCTCTGCCCCCTCCCTCCTTGCAGTCATCTCCCCATCATGTCCCCACTTGCTCATTCACACCCCCTAACTACCCCCAAACCTGCTCCTCCACACTCAGACTCCCCCTCTTCCTCCCTACACCTGTGTTCTCCGGGGATGGCAGCCCCTTGGCTCGCTGGGCCCTGGGCTGAGGGGAGGCTGAGCCCACTGATGGAGCCGCTCTGCCCTGCTGCTCCAGCACAAGACTCAGGCATGTGCCTGCCAGGAAATGCAAGGCCCGTAGGAGTCATGCTGCACTGGGCTCGCCTGACGGGCACTTGCCTGCCAGCCCCTCCCAACCCACCAGAGGAGGGTGAGTGAGACAAGAGGCACCTACCTTCAGCAGTGGGTTGGGGAGACGGTCCTCGTCGATTTCTGGGGGGGGGG